TTTGTGTGTGTGTGATTTGTTTGAAAATCTATTGAAATGCCAATGTAAGGCAGACTTTGTAAGAATTCTTGTATCAGTCCTCAATAATGTATACAAAGTCTTTTTGAAAATATCTTGTTTGAAAGTGTAGTGTGAAAAATCTTTTGAGTTGTGAGCAAGCATTCAAGAGTTCTTACCCACTAAACCTTTCTTATTCTTTTCCTTCTCATTTGGAGATAGTATTATCCATACCATTAGTTGGTAGGTGGTCCTATCTATTGGATGTGAAGGAACAGGTGTAGGGTCATCGTATGGTCATCGAAGGAAAAATGTAAGGATACTTTAGCAATTATATCGAAGGGACTATCATCATTTTTCTTGTAGGGTCATCGAGGGACTATGATCTTTAGTCGAAAGGGACCATGACAATATTTTTGAATCAAAGGTCTTTTTCTAAAGTATCCCCACTTTTGAGGGACATGACCGATGTTCGTAAGGAAACAAGAGAGGTTACCCTACAGGTGAAGTGTTTAAAGTGTATTAATCTTAAATATAAGTTTTCTAGATTTGCTTTTAGTCTTGCCATACAAACTCTATTTTACTAGCAATTAAATATGTACAAAAAATTAAAGTGCGAAATATAAAGTTCCTACGCTATTACATGGCTTTGGGAGAGATACATAAGTATAGAAATTTGTGGGAAGGTAAATCTACGCTATTACATCCTCGGAGAAGATACATAATAAGAAAAAGATGCGAGAAAATAAATCTACACTATTACATTGATAGTGCGATCCTATACACTTAACTGGCAAAATATGAATTAAAGTGTTATAAGAGGTGTTAAATGCCCTAAAAATTGTATATGTTAGAAAAAAAATATTTTTGATGTTTTTTTGTAGAAAATAATTTGAGTTAATAATTAATAAAAACCTAATTATTCTAATTAATTTTAGCTAATAAAAGGAAATAAACTAAAGCCTAAACAATTAATTAATAAACTAACCCTAATTTAGTAAGATTAATGGTTTATTTGGAAAAAAAAGGTTTTGTGTTAATTAATTGGTTAATGGCTTGATTAGGAAATTAGTGATTAGTTAGAAAACTAAATGGAGTGAAAAAATAAGATTAGGAAAATTAAAACAACAAAATACATGGGGTGGAACCTGAACCCACGCCCTCAGTCTCAATGATTATTCCCTTTACCACAGTGCCATGGTGTTGTTTGTGTTTAAGATATTAGACTCAATCCTCATATGATGAACCTGCTTTGTCCTGGAAAATAAGAGAGAAAATTAACAAGAGGAGGAATCGAACCCACGCCTCCATGGTTATCAACAACATCATTTACCACTTAGCCAATTATGTTACACGTTCATATTACCATTATCATTCAATATATAATAAAACTTAATTCAGAAAATCAAAAATCAAACAAAATTAAATACCCGTGTGTTAGTGGGGTCTGGGGTTTTGAATAGGCCAATGGGAGAATGCCACACCTAGGTCACACGGCCAAAGGAGAGTCAAACCACCGTGGATGGTGGTCAACTTCATCTTCTCCGATGAAGGTTTTTTGAAAACCTGTAAAAACGGATGAAAATAAAAGATCTAATAATTCAGATCCACTAGTTAGCATGCTGCGAGTTTAATGGCATGGTTACTTTAGCCTGAAAACTCCTATAGCACAGAATACAAAGCTCAATCGAAGTTTTGCCCTAACAATGGCAAATACCCATCCCTGCATCAAACCTCATAAATAATGGTTCTAAATTGTTCCAAACATCATAATGAACATGTATGAGTGTATCAAATCGTTTAACAATGCGTATATAAAAAGTTTGAGATTAAAGAAGGTTATCATACTAGTGATACTTGGTTGGCGACTTCTGGTGTGCTTCAAGCTTGAGTAATGATTGGTATGAACTCCTGGTACCTTCAGAAGGATATTGTGATGCTTGAAATCGATTGAGAATGGTTGGAGATCATAGTTTCAAGTTGCCATTGTTTTGAGAAATTTGAGATTTTAGGGTTGCTTCTTAGAGGAAGCATGCCTGTCCTTGAATGGATGAAGGTGTTGTGTATTTATAGGATAAGAATTAGGTCAACAAAAGTGAACAAAATCTTTATAATTCATGGTGTAAGATTTGATTTGGAATTTGCATGAAAAGTTTCTTTTTTAAGCTCAATCTTGTGCCAATCAGCCTCACACAGTTTTGGCAAGTTGTCATGAGCTTTTTGGGCCTCCAATTTGATCAAAACAAAAGTCCACACGCCTAAGTCTAATGCTTTCATATTTTATTTGATTTAATTTTCATTAAAATGAATAAAAGAGATAAAAATGATAAAAAACTTGTGAATGTATTTAGGGGTCCTTTTTAAGGTTATGAACACGTTTGAACCTAAGAACTTAGGCCCATTAGCCCAAAAATTCAACTTTGCTCAAAGTGGACTTCGTGCATTTTCTCAAAATTGCTCAACCTGCACCAATCATAACTCTCTCAATTTTTGTAATATGGAAAAGATCTCAGACTTTTTGGAAACCTAAATATTCCTCCTATAACTTTCAAGTTGGTAAATTTTTCATTTGAAGTCTTTAACTTGATGTAAATTGCTTTGACAAAAAAGGTTTTTTATTGACTTTCAAAATGACCTGTAAAATTTTGCCTCTTATCTCTCAAATGAAGTATTTTTGGACTTAGGCTTAGAGAGAAAAAGTTATAGAGAATCCAATTTCCTTCAATATGAGCTTTGGTTGAGGAATTTCTGATGAAGTATGTGAAAGCTGTGCTTGGTCAAAGTTCAGTTGACTTCTTAAGAAAACCCTAATTTAGTAACTTTTGACTTTTGATGAATCTTGAGTTTTCTTGATGATTCATGATCAACCCTTGATCAAATGATGAATGTGACTTCAAAGTATTGATGTTGACCAAAAATCTTGAAGTTTGACTGTAGATTGATCAAAGTTGACTTTTTGTCCAATATAGTTGATTTTCAATCATCTGATAAATTGAATGAGCAAACTTGTAAGGCTTGAAACTTGGTATGAGGGTTCTTTGAAGCATGTGAGAAACCATGAAGTCCATTTGAGGCATTATAAACTCAATTTCTTTTGAGAGAAACAAAGCCCTAGTTGTAGGTCAATTGCTTAGGATGCGGGTTTGTCTTGTCAACCCTTGAGTAGTCTTAAGTACTTGAGACTCCTATGAGCACGAGGATGTGTTTAGAATCAATTTATCTCAAAGATGGGAGGATAAGTTTTGGGGTACAATAACTTCCCATGTTTAATCTTCTTAAACCTAAAGAGTTAGATTGACATGCTTGCCTTTCGTGATCTGAAGGTGGAAGAGAATTGAATACTTATAAGTGCCCGAAAATTTTCACTCGCGGATGCACGAAGTAACACTGCGGGTTGATTATATCAGGAATTGGCTTAAAGATGACATTTGGAAAAGGTGACGGGATACCGTCGGAGATGGGCTTATATATGCCATCCAAAGTAACTATATTCTTAGATAATTGTTGACAGGAGTATCAGAATGAGTCTATGTCCGATTGTATCTAGAAATGGATCAGAATAAGTCTTCACCCGACTGTATTTAAATAATGTATTGGAATGAGTCTACGTATGACTGCATCCAAAAGAGTATTAGAATGAATCTATGCTCGATTGTATCTGAAAAATGTATTAGAATGACTCTACGCCCAACTGTATCTAAAAGTGGATCAGAATGAGTCTTTGTCTGACTGTATCTAAAAAATGTATTGGAATGAGTCTATGACCGACTGTATCTAGAAGTGGATCAGAATGAGTCTTCTCCAAACTGTGTAATACCCCAAATTTTTCCTATCCTTTCAATTTTATCTGGCTTATGCATTTTGCATTTCTCATCTTATCTGTATACCTTCCATTAGGTCATCTAACACATCATGCATGCATTTACAATTGAGGCTTGACATGAGATTAATAGTCTTGGAAGACTAAAGTTTCATATGGCTTGAGGTTGGTGTACAAGGGGGCTCGATTTAAGTGTTTCTTTCGTTAAGTAAAGATTGAACTAGGGTTGGGGATTCTCCTTAACTTGTAAGACTACCTTTCTATCAACATACATCAAGAACAGTGGAATTAGAAATGTGGCATTCATCCAAATCCTTATTTAAGGCTTGGGATCATTGGATCAATACATATGACCCCTATGATATCAAATCTTCATTGCTATTGGATAGAGACTTATTTCCTTATGCTTATGATCATCAGATGAATTCCTAAGGCTTAATCTTGTGTTCATCGGTTGTTGTTGCTCTTCCTAAGGTTTAATCTTGTGTTCATCGGTTGTTGTTGCTCAATGTTTAGACTTGTTATTTAACAGAGGTTTGATTTCATTGTTACTCGTGATGCAAGTTGTGGCTTGGAGGCTTAATTGAAATAGTGGAATGACCATTCGGGGTTTCATTTGATGTTACGTTAGGCTATGGTCAAGACTTTGAATGATAATGGATTTAGGTTGCAAATTGAAGAGGCCTTAGATTTCAAATAAGTGCAATGGAGAGAAAAATGAAGATTAAAAAAGAAACCATTACATGTCCAAATGCCTTTACCATGTTGTAGAATTTGAATTCGGATTAAAAGTCAAATGGAATGATTTCAGTCTCCAAATGCAAAATCAAGGGAGTTACATAAAAAGTCAACATCATGTTATTATTGTTCAAACTCACGGAAAAAAAAACGAGTACACTTCAAGATGTTACAGGGGGAAAATAGAAATTTAAAAAAAAAAAGAAGATGCTAAGTTTTCAACAAGGCTTCATAACAGGGCATATCTGCATTTTTATAAAACATGCATCCAAAACTGAAAAATTGCGGGAGCTGTCACGAAATGATGCAACACCAAAAGAACATGTGCATTAGTTCAACATGATTCCAATGCATCAACCTTGGTGATCTAGCTTGTATCGAATAAAAGAAGCAGCTCATGACCATGGATCAAAGTTCATCTCATTACAAAATTACAAAAAAATAAATGTTGTTCAAAAAGTTTCAAGATTACATTTTTACAAAAGGTTCCTTAAACGCCATAACTAACAGGCAAAATATAGATGCTGCTAGAACATCATCAACAAGTTTACACGAAAGGACTGCTAGCTCCAATGAAGGCAATATCGTTTTAATCGGCCATCCATCAATAGCACCATATAGAAGGGAATCTTCAGGGGGCCATAGATCTGAACTATCTCAAAACCATGTTAGAACTGTATCGGCTGGTGCAGTCCCTGAGGCAAGGTTTCAAGAAGCACAAGGCTGCAACTTACTACCCGCATAGGCCCAGCGGCAGTGCATCTGGAAGAGATCAGAGGAAGAAAATCATTATAACAGAAATTACCACAAAAAACAAATTACCTAACTGACTCTGATTGCCTCTAACAAACTTCCAACTGATTCTAACTGCCTCTAACAAAATTCCAACAAAAGTATAATAGAGAAATAACAGTTCACAAAAAAACAGAATTATAACTACCTTAAACCAACTCGCTTGCAATAAAAAACCTTCGTAGATAACCGCATAATAGAATTTCACAACAACTAACTCCAACCTGTAACAGAATTCCAGTCAACTAACTTCTAACAGAAAAGTCAGAGGAAAATCAATGATAAAAAACTCCAACAGAAAGATAATAGAGGACCTTACTGATTAAAATTTTCGGCAATTTCTGGAGAATGACAAAAACCAAAAAATAAGGCTTTGTTCTTCCCTTCTCTCTTCCCGGATCCGTAGTTAAGTTTTCAAGTTTCTGCAACTATGTCGTCTTTATCTCTTATTTCTTGATGCATTAGCGAAGCCTGAACCTTGCAGAACCTTTTCCCTAAATCAATTCCTTGTGATCGCGTATCCTTGCTGTTTAATCGCTACTTTAAAAATCTAAGTTTTCGCTTTTGAGGTTAGAATTAGAGAGTGTCTGAAGGGTTATGAAAAGTAGAACGTAAAAACAATGGAAGGAGGTGGGGTGCATTGGTTGACAGAGATTGGAGTGCGTTTAGGCCTCCGGCGTGGCAGGTCTATTAATCGAAAATTGCAAACATTTTTTAGGGAAGAGAGTGAAAGTTGAAACGTCACATGTAGGGGTGTTCAAATCCAAACCAATCCAAATAAAAAACCGAAAACCGCAAAAATCGAAATTTATTAGATGTGTTTGGATGTTATTTTGTGAAAATCGATCAGTTCGGATCGGATTTCAGATTAATTTTTTAAAACCGATCCAAACCAAACCAAACTGCATACATATATTTTTATACTTATTTACTTTTTATTAGCATGATATGATATGCTATGTGAAATTATTATTAGATGATAATAATTTTTTTAATAATAGTTATTAGTTTGGTATAATTTATTCATTTTTATTATTTCAATCATAATCAACCACTCTCATTTTGTAATATTAACTTTTAATATACTATATGTTATATATTATATCAAATCTATGATTTATTAGTAGTTTTATAATATTAATAAAACTATAATGTGTAATTTGGATATCCAAAAACCGACCCAAATTAAACCACATAAAATTGGATCGGATTGGATTTTTTTAATATATCATCTAAAACCGAACCGAACCGCAAGTAAATTTATCTTTGGATCGGATGATTTTTTATCTTAAAACTGATTCAAACCGAACCGCGAACACCCCTAGTCACATGTAGTTATCCCTAGTTTCAAACAAAACTGAATAATAACAGAGCTGGTGGATTGTTGTTGTTATACTGGGCCGAATCCCAAACCCCTTGCATCGGCCCATGGTTTTTTGACATATTACAAAGATTGTGAACGAAAACTCATTTTGGACATTGTTGCATATGGGCCTAGCTCCTGAAATTTTGGATAGCACTACAATCCCTCTAAAGTACAGCGTACATTTTTTACTAGAAGCTATTGGCAACAAAAACAACATTTTGGACTTTTGTTATTGGACATAGTTCTTCATTCTTAGTGCTGGACATAGTCCCTGGATGTCAACTCACACCCCCCTGATTCATTGGTTTTGTTTCATTTTGTTGTTTTAATTATTTTACCAATTTTTCTTTGGCTATATTTTTGTTATGATAAAAAGGTATTAAATCAATAAAATTTTTTAGTTTTTTTCTTATTTGATTTTAAGAATAAATTCTCTAGTTTTTGATGGAATTTTTCTCACATAAGAAATAATAAATAAAAAAAATACTCTTTCTTCTAGTTTTTATTCATATTTTTATACTGTTGTGCTTCATTATTTTTGACGCGTTTGTTCATTGTGCAAGGTACATTTTTTGTGCTTTCGAATATGTAACATAACAAGTTGTTATGTGATCGAAGCATATTGCTTATGCTCGCTTCCGATGTGACACGCCTTATTTCTCATCGTCCTGGAAAATTCATATCATATTATATATTGTCCCAATACATGTGATATTTTGTGATACTTTCTACAGGAACTTCTGATTACGCATTGCATTCGCAACACGCGTTTGCTTTTATCTTAGTTGGATATTGTTTCTGACTTTGTTTGTTTCTTGGTGAAGCTTTCTCGATGCATACTCCCTGCTTCTTCATTGTTTTCGTCCTCTTTCGACAATTGGCTTGCTCGTGGTAGTCACTGCTACTACCTTTGTATTTCTTCGCACTTTACCACATTTCTTTACCGCTTTTCTAGAGATCCTGAGAAGTAGGTCTTTACTGCTTTCCGATGTCATGATGAGTAGGTTAGAGATGTATGAAGGGGATCTCTGTTGCTGGTCATGTCAGAAATTCCTCTGCTTTATTTAAAGACCCGTTTAGGTCAATACCATATTGTGTACATTTTGTTTTCTATTTGTGTTTATTTAAAACCCTACCTTTGAAGTAGGTATTCTACACGTGTGTTTATATTTGTGCCAGCATATATTACAAATGATAAGTCCTCAAAAAGAGGCGAGCGGAGAGGGTTTGTAATTAATCCCCAAAATTCCGTCTGTGTCATCCTTGGTTCATGACGCACCACGATGCTTTGGAGTTGTGCATGCTCTTGTTATCGAGTCGTCCAGTGGGGAAGGGTTTTGCAATCAAACCCCCACATTTTGTCAGGAGTTCGCATTAGCGGATGCTGACACTCCGTGATTGTTCATATTGCGTTTTGTCGCCTACCTCAATCTCATATATCTTGGTTAGGTGTTCAGTCGCTTTGGACATCATATTTTTGTTTTACATCCTATTACACTCCCATTGACTAAAGCATTTTTCTTGTTTTCCTTATCATTTTATGTGTATGCTCCTTTGAACTTGTATGTTTTATTCTTGTATATACCATGTTCCCTTAGGATGTACTTGTTCCTTTCGGATGCAAGTTAGACCTTAGGTTGTGAACTATGCATGCTAACATTAGGTAGAGCTTTCCCTTTAATCCAAATCTTAGAACTACCATTGTATGATAACATTAGGATTAAAAATAGGCTAGTCTCTCGTAGACCCTTTTCTTCCCCTTTTTGCATCCGCATCTAAAACTAAAACTTTCTTTTCTTAAAAAATCATAAAACACTCTCTAATAACAAAAACCCCTTTTCAAGGTAACAAAATACAAACCAATCAAATGTGGCATCTTTCCTTGAGGGCGTAAATCAAAACCATTTTCAGTAAGGACATGATTAATTTATTTTTGTGCCAACGCGTGAGTCTCCAAAGGTCGAGCTGTGGCAGAAGGCGGAATTAACATTGTTCATAAAAAACACAAAACAGACAAAAATATGTGAGCCAAACTACGGTAACTGTGATTCCTCAAAAATGATACGTAGGCATTAGGGTAGGGCCCAAGCGAGCAAAACTTTATTTTCCCTACATTATTTTCTCTTTTCTTTTGCATGAATTCCTCCTAAGTAATAAGCAGTAAACATAGAATAGACAGACCCTTTGATTAGAACAACAAGAGTGGATACTGTAGAGTACTACGGGTGTGTGGGGTGCTAATACATTCCCTTCGCGTAACAGACTCCCTTACCCAATCTCTTGGTCGCAAGAACGTGACTTCTCCCTTCTCAGGTTTTCTCGATGTTCACATTTCCCTTCATGTGCGATAAAAGACATTTGATGGCAACTTTAATGTTTGATGGTTTTTAGCCGGTTGTTTCAGACTGTATCTAGAAAATATATTGGAATGAGTCTACACATGACTGTATCCAGAAGTGGATCAGAATGAGTCTTCGCCCGATTGTATATGAAAAATGTATTGGAATGAGTCTATGCCCGAATGTACCAGAAGTGGATCAGAATGAGTCTTCAGACGACTGTATCTGGAAAATGTATTGGAATGAGTCTACGCTCGACTGTATCTGGAAAATGTATTAGAATGAGTCTACACCCGACTGTATCTAGAAGTGGATTAGAATGAGTCTTTGCCCGACTATATCTAAAAAATATACTAGAATGAGTCGGTGTTGGACTTTATCTAAAAGTGAATCAGAATGAGTCTTCGCCCGACTGTATCTGAATAATGTATTGGAATGAGTCTACGCCCAACTGTATCCAGAAGTGGATCAGAATGAGTCTTCACCCGACTGTATCTGAATAATGTATTGGAATGAGTCTATGCCCGAATGTATCCAGAAGTGGATCAGAATGAGTCTTCGCCCGACTGTATCTGAAAAATATATTAGAATAAGTCTATGCACGACTGTATCTAAAAGTGGATCACAATGAGTCTTCGCCTGACTGTACCTGAACAATGTATCAGAATGAGTCTACGCCCGATTATATCCAGAAGTGGATCAGAATGAGTCTTTTCCCGACTGTATCTGAACAATGTATTGGAATGAGTCTACGCTGTACTATATCCAGAAGTGGATCAGAATGAGTCTTCACCCGACTTATCTGAAAAATATATTAGAGTGAGTCTACGCCTGACTGTATCTAAAAGTGGATCAGAATGAGTCTTCGCCCGACTGTATCTGAATAATGTATTGGAATAAGCCTAAGACCGACTATATCCAGAAGTGGATCAGAATGAGTCTTCTCCCGATTGTATCTGAACAATGTATTGGAATGAGTCTACGCCTGACTGTATCTAAAAGTGGTTCAGAATGAGTCTTCGCCCAAATGTATCCAAAAAATATTGGAATGAGTCTATGCCCATTTGTATACAGAAGTGGATTAGAATGAGTTTTCTCCCGACTGTATCTGAAAAATTATGTTGGAATGAGTCTACGCTCGACTGTATCTAGAAGTGGATCAGAATGAGTCTTCGCCCGAATGTATCTGAACAATATACTAAAAAGAGTCTATGCCCGATTGTATCTAGAAGTGGATCAGAATAAATC